TTAATAAGAACTTTAAGTATATCAGATGGTCTCTGTAGAGACACAAGATTGAAAATAACAAAATTATTTAAATATAATATAGAAGCAGAAATGATAACGGGAGAAAAAATAGAAAGCAAAGTTTATATTCCTAGAATAACATTAAATACTGGCACCTCATCATCATTACCTTTTAAATGCTAAAGAAATGTTACTAAGGAATTAATGTATATCAGACGCTCTTTGTAATGGCACAAGATTAAAAATAACAAAATTATTTCAGTATAATATAGAAGCAGAAATGATAACGGGAGAAAAAATGGAAGCAAAGCTTATATTCCTAGAATAACATTTAATACTGGCACCTCGTCATCATTACCTTTTGTCTTATATAGAAAACAGTCTCCCTTTGTATAAGCATTTTTTATGTTTATCAACAAATCATAAGGAAAGAGTTTTAATTTCTTAAGATTGTATATTAAAAAACCTTTATTATTTCACGGATAATTATACGTTGCTTTATCAAAATGTAAGAATTCAAAAAGAATTTTTATTCAAATTGAATCCGAGAATAAATTAGAAATTAAAAATATTGTTCAGCAAGAAATTTTTCAGTTATTTAAAAATATGTAACTTCAAAGAATACGCATGTATGTGTGTGTGTGTGCGCAAAAAAATATGATGGATATAAACTCAAATATTGCCATAATAGCTGCTTCGGCACACAGTACCATCTTCAGATGAATATTTATATTTAACTTGAATAAAGTTCAATAAAAACAGTACTTTAATAAAAGACGGTACTGCGGTACTGTGTACCAAAACTGCTGATATGGCAATATTTCAGTTTTAACAAAGAATGAAGATGATAAACTTGTATCCGTAGCATGTTTACGTGTAAGGACAACTAAGTTATCTTAAAAAAAAGATTTTGGTCATCTAACACACAAAAAACAAAAATAATGTAAGAAAGTGGTGTAATGATATCGTATATGAAAAAGTAAACCATTAGATTGTTAACAAAAAAAAAAGGTTAGAAGAGTAGACTACAAGTTATTGTAGTTGCTTTCCTTGTAGATAAAAAAAAAAGATGCACTGACAAACGCTAAGGCTTTTTTTCCAACGCACTGCAATAAAAGTGTTTTTAGTAGTAGTAGTAGTGGTAGTTGTAGTAGTAGTAGTAGTAGTAGTAGTAGTAGTAGTAGTAGTAGTAGTAGTAGNACACTGTCACACTCGTAAAAAATTTTGACGCAGACCTCAACATCAGCAGATAAAACTTTTCCTTTTTTTTTATCGGGCCATGAGAGTATGCCACGTTCTGCAACTAAATTTAAAGCTTGCCTAGCTTCTCTATCTGTGCAACTAAATTCTTTCATAAGCTCTCTTCGGTTCCAAAATTTCAGGGCGAGGGTGAGCAACGTGATTATCTCTCGCTTATCGTTAGATGATGCAAATTTCTCCTTCCGCCGTGGCTCGCATCGTCTCGTTCGTCGTTTAAATACAACGAAAAACCCCTCTTTTTTTATTGTCGATATCTACGTAAAAAAATCTCATCTTTCAATCTAGACTATCAAAAGAATTCCAAAAGTTGAAGATCATGGAGATAAAACGTGTTTTTTAAACAAGTGCATTTTCCGAGGTTATGGGAGCAAATTTCTAAAAAACTAATGCTACCACTGGAAAGCTGAGGAGAAAATACGTAAGAATATGTTTTTAGATAATTTTTTTATCAAAGTTTTGACACCGAAACGATGAGTTGAAAACGTCGTGTTTGACGCCCACGCGGGCCGTCCACCGCGGCGTTGGGACAGTTGACGTGATTCTCCCCAAATATGAATTTGTGTTGAAGAAGTACAAAAAAATTGTCAGTAAAGATATGTCAGAAGCGTTTTTGATAGAAATTATTGAGTTTTTGTAAGATTTATTAATTAAAATGGAAAAAATATATAAGACAAACTGTTCACGTCACATGAAAACCATGGATAGAAGTTTGTAAATAATCGTTATTCTTAAGCATAAGAAACAATACTTTTTTTTTTTTACTTAATTAAGTTTGTGTAACACATTTTTAATTAAAGTCATACATGTAAAATTAGGTATTTGCTGTGTACTAAACTTTTGTGTTCAGATAGACTATGAGTATGTTAATTGAGTATGCTCATGCCAATTTTACAGTACGTAAAAGTGTAAGATCGATAGATTAGAAATGATTTTTTGTACGATTAAAAAAACTATATTTATAGTGTTTTGTGTTGTATTATTGTCCTAATGAAACCAAATTTTAAGCAAACTTAACAATATGAGGCTATGTTATTATCTTAATACTAATAATATGGTATTACCTTAATACTTTAAATATAATTATACACAAAAATTTCTTCACATGATTAGATTGACATTTTATTTGAAACATTATAAGTCAATAGCAAGTGTAAAGGACCAATTATTTATTTATTCTTGTTTTCCTAACAAACATAGAACTTTATTTATTTTTCTAGCCAATATATACGTACTTTTTACTGGAAATAATCTAAATTATACACAATTGTATTAAGATTATCATACTAAAGTGTCAGCTTAAAATTTATGTCAACCAATGGAGCTATAGAGAAAACAACTATGTGTAATGAACTTACTACAAAAAAGCTAAATAATGTTAAAACTTCTTTTTCTAGTAACTTACCAGTACTATAAGCACACTTTTGTGCAGGTGTGCAACTTAAAAGACTTTTACAAGGCTGTAAATTAAGTGTATTCTAGTAACAATTAAAAGTTTAAAAACTTATGGCAACACTAGCATTTGGACTGACTAAGGTATTTGATTATAACAAGTGAAGCGTTTTTTTACTTTATTTGTCTGTGTCAAACGTACTCAAGCACTGTAAGATGCAAACAGAGATAAAATAGAGAGAGCTGTACACTTTATAATGAAGTTGCTTCTTTCAACAATATATACGGTGTTCTAATGTGACCACGTATAGCAGCAGAATAGAATAACTTTGATGTATGGTGGAAAGGGGAAAAGGAGGACATTGCCCGACTCTTGTTAAACGTAAACAGCCACCCTACATCCGTTTTTATTTCAAGAGTCTATTAAACCAAACCCTTTTTTTTATATTACATTTAACTTTGTATGCAGAACATGTCAAATAAAAAAAGATTTCTGATACTCTTTTTCTTCAACTATTGTTTCCAACAAAAAAAGTCCCATAGTAATTCTTGAAAAATAATGAGTTGGTCAATAATGTTCACGTTAACGATAAGCATTATCAAATAAGTATTATTACCCTTACGATTAGCAAAGTCTAATTTTTTGTCAAAAATTTAATAATCATAGTGATAGAAATCCATACAAAAATAATTTTAAAAAAGGGCTAATAATCGTTTCGATAACGTTTATAACAAATATTTTCGACTTATGTAAAAGGATGCATTCTCTTAAAAGTCGGGGTATACTTTTGTAATCAATTTAATAAAAAACATTTTTTTTCTTACCAAACGTTTTTTTTTTATCACTCCAGTTACTTAAGTTTGAGTAACAAGTAATTACAAAAATCGAATGACTACAGAGTAATTTTCTAAATTATTAATTATAGGGCTCAAAAAATCGTTTTAAGGGAGTTGGATCGCTCCAATGGGGAAGTGAAGGGGAGCACGTGTATGTTCACAAGGCACCGTGCTAAAGTCTGCTGTACTAACCTAGCCTAAAAACATCCGCCCTTTCGATTACGGAAAATGCATTTGTGTTTGACTCGCCAGTACTCGTTAACGATTAAATAAAATACTTCAAAAAAATTACAGAATATTCTTTAAAGTATCTTGTTTCTTATTGTATTAATCAAATAGCCTAAATACTTTCTCTATGAGGTATAAAAAATAAAGAGTAAACGGTATAGTCAATATGATCTTTTTTTAATAAAAGTGTGCTATAAATTTTCGAAATTAGAGGTTTTAATGGAATATCATTAAAGTATAAAGTCTCATTAAGGCCTATACCAAGTTTGAGATCATAATTTTGAGTAGAACGGCTTCTAGAAGGGATTTTGTGAAAAGCTATCGCGCCACGTAAAAAGTCGAGCTGACAGCAAACAGTGTACTCAGTGCGTCCTTGTGTGCCACATGAATGAAGCATACAAGCAGAAAACAAATTTGTTTACGTTTGTGCAAATATCTCCATAACTGCAGACGAGATTTTATTGAAACTTTGCACGTATACGAATGAAGTTGTCATAAATGACATATCAGTTTTTCAAAACATTCTCATCGCTGTGTCAAGAGTAATAGGTATTTTTTTACAACTTTTTTTTATAACTAACATTTGAGCCCATGTTAAAGACGACGAAAAAGGGACACTTCATGAATTTTTTTCTCGAAATCTGTAAACGCGATTGTGCTCAAATTTAGTGACTAGTTTCTTTACAACATATACTTTTTTTAAAATATTTTCATCGTTAAGTGAATTGCAACCCAACTACCTTAACTTTCCATATGCCTTTATTAATCTGAAAAAACTGAAACCATCAAAACGTTAACAAAATTGTAAAAACAATTCAAAAGTAAAGAAAAATCATATTTATGTGTGTATGTGTGCCTCTCTGTGTGTGTGTGTGTGTGTGTGTGTGTGTGTGTGTGTAAGGAACTTTGTCTTACAGTAAATCTTGGTTAGCAACTAACCGTGTGTACATAACGTGTATGTACCATTAACAACTATGAAGGAAGTTCTGTTGCTAAGATAATTAACGTCAATATAATAATAATAATACTTCAAACAGATATGAATTAGGGTATGAAAGACCTTTAATTAAAATTTTAAATCCCTTTACAGCTTTAAAAAAGAGATATTGATAACTTTGTTTTTGATTTTTTAACTTGTAGTCTTATAAGAATCAACACTGTGCTAATACATAACCAACAATATCTGGGTTATTGACGTCGAGATGTATTAAAAATTTTTTTTTTTAGTAGCTAAAAACTGGGTTATTACTTAGCTTTACTCTCACGTTCATTCATGGCTTATAGAATCAGCAATAAATTAGTGAATAAAATAATTTTGCTTTGACGGCTACTGTTAGTACGTCACGTTACATGTGTATGTATAGTCATACAGGTTACAAATACAGTTGATCTTATGCGTCAAAAAGATTGAATAGAAGTGAACTTCCATAAGTTAGCTTTAAAAAAAAAAAGATATTAGTCATTTAACACACAAAAAATTAAGACAAAGTAATAAAAAAGGTGTAATAATTTTGTACTTTCAAGATCCTTATAAAAATCTACACAAAATTAGTAAGACTATTAATGAATATATGAAAAAAAGTGATTGCATTACATTATTATTTAAAAAATAATTGGGCTAGAAGAATATATGACAAATTATAAAAGTTGATTTTCTCGTACATGAGAAAAAAAAATAGTCACTGACTAATGCTAACATCCTTTTTTCCAACGTACTTCAATGAAAAAATTTTTGGTAGTAGTAAAAGTAGTAGTAGTACTAGTAGTAGAAGTAGAAGTAGTAGTAGTAGTAGTAGTAGTAGTAGTAGTAGAAGCAGAAGAGGTAGTAGTACTAGTAGTGGTAGTAGTATTTGTACTAGTAGAGGTAGTAGTACTAGTAGTAGTAGTATTAGTAGTAGTAGTGGTAGTAGTAGTGGTAGTAGTAGTAGCAGTGGTAGTAGAAGAAGTGGTACCTTCGACATGGTTCTTAATTATTCTCTTTTTTTAGAAACATAATAACGTCATGTAATTTTCCATAACTGTTATTGCACTAAGCTTTCCCCACAGAATAATTTGTTTTCATGTGTTAATACGCCATTCTCGATGGCTATAAATTGCGCGCTTATTTACTAGTGGCATCACAGGCTGTGAGGAAACCATCAAAACTTCTAAAATGTTGTAAAAACAATTGAAAAGTAAGAAAAGATGACTTATACGCATGTATGTGTGTGTGTGTGCGCAAAAAAATATGATGGATATAAACTCAAATATTGCCATAATAGCTGCTTCGGCACACAGTACCATCTTCAGATGAATATTTATATTTAACTTGAATAAAGTTCAATAAAAACAGTACTTTAATAAAAGACGGTACTGCGGTACTGTGTACCAAAACTGCTGATATGGCAATATTTCAGTTTTAACAAAGAATGAAGATGATAAACTTGTATCCGTAGCATGTTTACGTGTAAGGACAACTAAGTTATCTTAAAAAAAAGATTTTGGTCATCTAACACACAAAAAACAAAAATAATGTAAGAAAGTGGTGTAATGATATCGTATATGAAAAAGTAAACCATTAGATTGTTAACAAAAAAAAAAGGTTAGAAGAGTAGACTACAAGTTATTGTAGTTGCTTTCCTTGTAGATAAAAAAAAAAGATGCACTGACAAACGCTAAGGCTTTTTTTCCAACGCACTGCAATAAAAGTGTTTTTAGTAGTAGTAGTAGTGGTAGTTGTAGTAGTAGTAGTAGTAGTAGTAGTAGTAGTAGTAGTAGTAGTAGTAGTAGTAGAAGTAGTAGTAGTAGTAGTAGTAGTAGTAGTAGTAGTAGTAGTAGTAGTAGTAGTTGTTGTAGTAGTAGTAGTAGTAGTAGTAGTAGTAGTAGTAGTAGTAGTACTAGTAGTAGTAGTAGAAGTAGTAGTTACCTTGACATGGTTGTTAATTATTACTTTTTTTTAGAAACATAATAACGTAACGTAATTTTTCGTAGTTGTCCTTGCACTAAGCTATCCGGACAGAATTGTTTGTCCTCGTTTGTAGCTACACTGTTCTTGATAACAGTAAATTGTGCTACGGTTTACTAGTAGCATTATATACAAGATACAGACTACATTATATATTAAATATAGACTATGAAGAAAAATTTAAACTGGCTCAAGTATATACTTATTATTTTTTTTAGGTTTTTGCATTGTAACGCCTAATATTTGTGCCCTCATATGTAGTTCAGAATTGAGTTGGGATAATTTTTTTTTACTATTCATTTGTTACTATCAAAGCTGTATTTACGTACAACCTTGATTTGTGGAGTATTGTATTATAAAAGAAATTTCATACAAATGAATAAACTGAACAATGTTAATACGTGTGTTAAAGATGAAACTATAATTTTTTAACTGGATTTTTTGTAAGTCCATAAACATTATATTTTGCTACGATTGTATAGGATCGTAAGTTCTTATGAGTTATGATTCGGCAAGATCTAAAGTATGTCTGTTATATATTTCTATAGTAAGAGTTTTTTCTTGGTATTTGAGAAATGCTATGTAGTCAATACTATGTACCAGCCACAACCTACGGTTTTTGGAAGATAATGAGAAATTGTTTCAGTAAAGTGCCATTTGTGGCAAGATGTGAGTAAATGTACTACCAGAAAATTGACCTTCTAAAAATGGACACTCTTACACAAAAACAATACCTGCTGCAACTTGCCCAATAGTTTTTTAACAATAATTTATTTTAGAAACGACAGTAATAGTTATACTTAGATATAGTAAATAGGACAATAACCTTTTCATTTTCAGAATTTGAAAACCACTTTTTTAACTAATTAGTTTATAATTAAGCTGTTCATAAACAATACAGCCACATTTCATTCACGCCTTTAATGTTGATATTTGGGCACCTCATGTAGGCTTCTCCTTATCTTATTTAGTACTGGAGATTCCGTAAAATCTTCGCTATTTATATAGTTAGTTTCGTCACTTTGTTGTTAGTTGTAGACTTAGTGTTAATCTTTTGCTTGCGACAAAACGAAGTAATATAACACTTAAGTTCTGTGTCAGTAAGAAAAATAAAAAAAGTAAAACAAAAAAATTATTGTTTTATAGACTACTTAATGGCCATAATGACCAAGAATAAGCAAGTTCAAAAATTCTGCAATTATGTATTAGAAAATTATATAGCCCCTGATTCGCCTATGCCCCAATACTTAAGGCACGATTTTGATCCTTAATATACCGTACCACAAATAAATGTAAGGCATTCCATTCAAAATTTAAAAGTCAATTTTACACTTCAAAC